CTCCCTCCCTCCTTCCCTCCTTCTTCCCCTCCCTCCTTCCCTTCCTACCTCCTCCCTCCCTCCTTCCCTCCTTCTTCCCCTCCCTCCTTCCCTTCTTACCTCCTCCCTTCCTCCTTCCCTTGCTCCCTCCTTCCCTCCCTTCTTCCGTTGCTCCCTTTCTCCCTCCCTCCCTCCTTCCCTCCCCCACTCCCTCCTTCCCTCTCTCTCTCTTTTTCCGCCCCCTCTCTTTCTCTCCCTCTTTCTTGCCAAAAGAAATACAAAAGAATTCAAATTTCTGCTTTGGTTGCCATCCATCCTGGATGCTGCCATCAGCCTAATGAAATGAAATAGAAACAGAAGACCTTTGAAGACTGTAGGTGGCTTGAAGAAGGCTGTGTTCAGACACAATTCAACTTTAGGTTGTAGACTTGGAGTTGATTCCAAGCTATTTTCCTATAGCAGTATTTCTCAAGCTTTATTATTATTTCCCATTATGGCGTCAGAGGAGGAGATGTGGAAGAGATGTAAGGATGGCGTCAGAGAGAGAGAGAGAGCCTGGAAGATTCTCCGCTGTTGGCTGAAGACGCAGGAAGGGGCCAAGGGCCAAGGAACGCGGGGCCTCTAGAAGCTGGAAAAGGCAGGAGACAATTCTCCCTTGGAGCCTCGGGAAGGAACCAGCCCTGTAACCCCCATTTTAAACTTCTGACCTCCAGAACTATCAGATAATAAACCTGTGTTGCTTTAAGCCACGTAGCTGGTTGTAACTTGTTACAGCAGCAAGAAGAAACTCGTGTATTTTTTTAGCAATGGACCCAGTGCACCAGCTCAACCAGTGGTTTTGTTAGTCCATTTTTTATTCTTTTTCTAGTGGGTTCCATCAGTGCTGAGAGCTGGCACACCTACTCGAGTATGACCTTCACTTTGTTGTTGTTGTTAGATGCTGTCGAGTTGGTTCCGACTCACAGCGACCCCGTGTACCACAGAACGAAACACTGCCTGGTCCTGCGCCGTCCTCACAATCCTTGTTATGCTTGAGCCCATTGTTGCAGCCACTGTGTCAATCCAACTCGTTGAGGCTCTCCCTCTTTTTCACTGACCCTCTACTTTATCAAGCAGGATGTCCTTCTCCAGGGACTGGTCCCTCCTGATAACATGTCCAAAGTACGTGAGACAAAGTCTCGCCATCCTTGCTTCTAAGGAGCATTCTAGCTGTACTTCTTCCAAGACAGATATGTTCTTTCTTCTGGCAGTCCATGGTATATTCGATATTCTTGGCCAACACCATAATTCAAAGGTGTCAATTCTTCTTCGGTCTTCCTTATTCATTGTCCAGCTTTCACATACATATAATTGAAAATAGCATGGCTTGAGTCAGGCGCACCTGAGTCCTTAAAGTGACATCTTTGCTTTTTAACACTTTAAAGAGGTCTTTCGCAGCAGATTTGCCCAAGGCAATGTGTCTTTTGATGTCTTCTCTTCTGCTTCCATGAGTGTTGATTGTGGATCCAAGTAAAATGAAATCCTTGACAATGCCAGTCTTTTCTCC